GATGGAAAAACATGCCTCAGCTGATGATTTAAATGCTAGGGAAAAAGCTGAAAGGTCTAAGCCTAAATGTGAATCAGATCAGAGGGTAAATTGGATGATATTGACAAAATGGAAAGTCCCTGAGAAAATCTCTGAATTTAAATATAGTAGTGTTGACTGTATTGTAGGGGCGGATTTAGCATTTTTTTGTCTTTGAGATGTAGCAAACTCCAAACATTTATATGTTTATACATATTTCAAGTAAGGATGCTTTTGCAAAAAAATACGATGATTGGAGCCTGGAAACAAAAATCCTAAAATATTTTCCCCCTCGTCCAAAACGTGAGAGCAACTAGTTGATAAAATGTTTTTTGTACTATTCTTAACTAGACTTATATTCATCGATAAATTTTTAGATTTGCTGGATTCGCCCCTGCTGCATTGTATTCTCAGTATATAATTGTAAGCACTGGCTTTACCGCAATGCAATTAGGCGGTAAGTTCTGATAGTGATTTTCTGATGAGGAATCGTGGGTGATTATTTACAATTGCAAGATTTACTTAGGTAATTGCGATGCTGTTTTTTTAATTTCGATAATCCTGTTAACAATTTATTGCGAGCCAAGTTTCTTGTAAGTCTAGTATGTTGAAAATCTTATGAATAAGTTTATTCTTGTCTTTATAGGTGCAAATTAGTCTATAAAGTAATTTTTATTTCTTATAACTTTAATTGAGTTGCTATATCTGCTTCAATAATCGATAAACACAGACAGACGGTCTTGTGCAATTGTTGTCCTTAAATATATTTTAATTATTTTTAATGTGCTGAAAGATCAAGGGTCATGTCAAATGTAGCATACGTGCTGCAATTATGTCAGTAAATGAGCCTATATCATGATATGTTGTTTTGAACTCAGGTTAAATGAGGAAACATGGAAATTTTCAACATGTAAAATGTGGGATTAAGTTGCGCAAAATTTCTTTTAACCCTAACCCTATTGCTGTCTAAACCCAAATCCTCAGTTGATGTAGCATCACTTCTTTGCATTTTCTTTCTAAATCAGTCTACGTATGCGCTGAAGTCCCTAAACCTCATTCTGGAGTTTATTGCCACACGTTACCCGTTAAAAGTTTTTACATTTTATCAATGCCTTGTTAATGTTATTAATCAGCAAATTTGAAATATTGTCCATATCTTAATTCTCCGTTTTAAAACTGTTTTTTTTCCGCTTAGAAAAAGACGTTTGCTATTTACGAATTTTTTTTCAAAGAGAGTAAGCTAACATAGCTTGATTATGCACTTTGTGTAAAAACGTTACAGAATCATATTTTCCACCTAATAAAGTTGTATATTAAATTAATTACTTATGAATTAATGTGGCTTGTTTTAATTTATAAGATATACTTAAAAAAAAATTATTAAAAATATATCTGCCAATGTTTATTAAAAATTTGCGACCACGCTGTATTAGGCTAATAGTTTTTCCAAATTATACAACAAAAAAAAATTATAAACTTTAAATAAATATACTTTTATATATATTATTTATTTTTTACTCTACAATTTTAAAATGTTTAAAAATATAAACTTATCTACTTTAACACGTTTTAAAGTTTTAAGCGATTTAAAGTTGAAAACGTTTAAAAGTTAAAAATTTATTTGATATTCCAAGAAAAAAATTTGATATTCCTGACAAAATTATAATATTTTTTTTCAAAATTTTTTTTAAATAGTCAATAAATCATATAAAATAAAACTTTGATGTCAAATATTTAACATTTGTTTTCAGTTAATATTTTAATTGCTCGTTAACTTAAAGACAAACATGCAATTATTTTTAATTACATCCGTCGGCGGGAGGTAAATATTTCCACCTCCGATTTGGCAGCCGCAGCCATCTAGGAGGCAGAAGCTATTTGAGGCGGCCTCCAAATGGTTTTGCCTCCAAAATTTCATTTGGAGGCGACCACCACTGGCTTCCGCCTCTCTATTGGCGTGGGCATTTTGCCTTGAAAAAAAATCTCTAACTGCGGCCGCCAATAGAAAGGCGGAAGCCACTGGAAGCAGATGTAAGAAAATTTTGCCGCTAAAAATTGATTGGGAGACAACCGCCGTCTGCTGCGCAACAAAGGTGGAGGCGAGAATATTTATGCCGTTTATCAACTCTGTTCTTAAGTCTTACTGTTCTTTTTAAACCTAACTAATGCGTCACCTTGTCTAGTAGAGGTAAGTTGAGCAGCTTTAAAAAAAACAAAAAAACAAACTGAACTATCAAACACAAAAAAACAACTTTGATGAGAAATAATAGATCCGTACATTGTTTATATATATTTTTAAAATTAGTAATTGACACTTTCTAACTATTTAATTTTTTCTCTTTTTTTACTTACCTCATTAAAGTGTATAAAATAAAAAGTTTATAAACTATACATATGCTTACTGTTAGTGAAAGTTTTATTGATGCTTTACCCAAGTTTCGTACCATACATATTCATTTATTGTTTGATTTTTCAACTTACCACACACTATTGCTCAACTTACCCCGGTTGAGCAATAGTGTTGTTATTTATATTTGTTGAGAAAAAATTGTAGCTTTTAATTTTTTGAGAAGATATTGCCTAAAATTTGCGGAGGTGGTCAACTGGGGCAGGTTGAGCACCTCCGCAAACTTAGGCAATATCTTCTCAAAAAAATCGAAAACTAAAATTTTTTTCTCGACAAATTTTTAGCAGGTTAAATTATCTTTCAAATATTGAAAAAATTATGTAAATCCAACGCACCGTTCATGAGATCTGTTAAATTTAGTAAAAATTGCTCAACTAGCCAAGCTCTACCCTAAACTAAAATTTATTGAAGTAAAAAGACTAAATTAAGAACAAGTTTAGATATAGTCGGTTATGAAACGTAGCTACCATGACCCGTATCGTACGGTCCTGACGGGTCTTTATAAAGTATAATAATTTTTTGTAATTTTATTTTGAAAAATGTATCAATATTTATATTTTATCTCTTTGACAAAGTAAAATGTAACAAAAACAAAGTAAAAACGGCCAATATACTCATACGAAGTAATAATTTCAAAGAGAAAAAAATATACAATTTTACGTGACAAACAAAAACTATTTTTCTTGAGATAAAATATAAATATCGATACTTGGTTGTAATCAACCAAGGTGATAAAAGTATAAGTGGTTTTCATTCATATATTATATGAATAAAAACCAATTATACTTATATCACCTTGGGCAGAGCCATCCCGAAAATATTTTAAAGAGGGGTGCTGTGTCTGTTTTTTTGCCGATAAAAGCCAAAAAAAAATTTTTTGCCCACTAACTTACCTAAAAAAAAAAAAAAGGTTCTCGTTTTCCGAGATTTGCCGAATGCTAACTATAAATCCAATTTTGCCGACTCTAGTGTCCGATTTGCCGACTAACAAAATTTGGAGGGGGGCTAGACCGCTCCCTACGCCCCTCTTCGGGAAGGCCCTGACCTTGGACGATTACAACCAAGATGTTTTCTATTTGCATTAAGTATCAATTTTCGGTACAAACTAATAATTTAAGTCATAAAATATAAGTAATATAATTATAAATAAAATTATAAAAGTTATAATAATTTAGTTGCTAAAATTGGTATTAAAAAAAGCTTAATTGTTGAGAGTTTGTTACAGAAAAGTTCTAATAAAATTATAAAACAGAGAGAGCCAACATATTTGACATAACTAGGTTTCGTGACCCATTTCTGTGTCCTCTTCAAATAGTTATTAAAAATATAATATATCAATAAGAAAGTTGTATTTTATTATAGTCTTAAGTTTCCAAGTTGTACTTTATTATAGAAAGTTGTACTTTATTATATATAATAAAGTACAACTTTCTTAAAAAAAACAAGACTTTCTTAAAAAACTTTCTTAAAAAAACTTTCTTAAAAAAAACAAGAAGCCGTAAAGCTCACTCTGAAACAGCCGTGCACGGCTGTTTTTTTAGTTAATAAAAATTTATTTCTATAAATTATATAAATATATAAATTAGCACGGCTGTTTTTTTAGTTAATAAAAATTTGAGCGATTTCGCTCAAAAATTTTATTCACGTAAAGTTGAGCAATTTTATTTTGCTAAATTTTTTTATTCTCCGGACCAGTAAAATACGGATCTTGGTAAGTGTATATAAAAGCGACTATTTCAATATTTATCAACTTCTTTAAATATTTAACATAGATGATAGTTGCGTAAAATTTCTTCTGTTTTTGGAAACTTAAGGCTATATATAGCCTTAATTTTTACGCAACTATCATCTATGTTAAATATTTAAAGAAGTTGATAAGTATTGAAATAGTCGCTTTTATATACACTTACCAAGATCCGTATTTTACTGGTCCGGAGAATAAAAAAATTTAGCAAAATAAAATTGCTCAATTTTACGTGAATAAAATTTTTGAGCAAAATCGCTCAAATTTTTATTAACTAAAAAAATTACTAAAAAATGCTGAATAGTTGTTCAGCTTTACGTGAATAAAAATTTGAGCTAAATTACTCAAGTTTTTAATCACTTAAAGCTGACCAATTACTAAGAGTAAAAGCGATTGCTTTTTTTATTCACCCGGCCCATCGCTAAGTTTTAACCATGTTGGGCTTAATTGTTTTGTGAAAAAAAAAGAATAGTTTTTTTTTTAATTTGATTCGTTTTATAAAACGCTCATAGAAAATACAAAAGAGTTTAAAATTTTGGCTCTGTCGTAATTCTATAGTTAAAATACAATCAAACTCTCTGACTTTTACAAAAAAAGCTTAACAATTTACAAAACCAAGTTTTAGTTTTTTAAAAACCATTACTTTAGATATTTAAATAAACATGGTTATACTTAAGCCGCCATCTTCAACAAAAAACTTGATTGTTTAAAAAAATTATCAACTTGGCTCACAAGTTGACTCTTTTTTCAGTTTTCAACTTGTCTCACAAGTTAAAAGCTGAAAAAAAAAGTCAACTATTTTGTTTTTAAATTAAATTTAAAATAGAAGTTCGATTTTCGAATAAACAAGGCGCGAATGAATTACCGCTTGCAAAACTTCATCAACTTTAAGTAGATTTCAATTATTTTATAATTCAATTTAACAGTCAAGAAAACGATAAAGACCAAGCAATAATTTAAAGAAGATATTGGGCAAAGAGTCATAAACTTCCTAAAAACAAAAAATGGTGAGTTTTTTAATGTCATGTTTATTTTATCTAACTAAAGTTAATCATTTTATATTTGTTCTTTTGTACCTTTCGAACAAAAAATAGAAGAAAATTTTTCTTCGCCTATAAATAACAATCAATCGGATTGGCTAAGGTAATTTTTTTTTAACTTAGCTTAAAAAAACATAACTGATTAATAAAATTTTTGATCATTAAATTTAACAGTTTTTTTTGGATATTACCCCTAGGAATACACGATAAATTTTTGTTAAAACATTTAGAAATAACTATTTTGCAGGAATTTTGCGACAAAGCTGATAACGAAATTGAGGGAGTTTCACAGCTCTACGCTGGCAAATCGTTTCCCAAACGTCTATGGTTACTTTTGTCTAAAAGCTTAGAGTTTAATTCTGTGATTCATTGGAGTGAAGATGGCCATTATGTTGTTATACCTGTTGAAAGCTACTTTGAGCAAAAAATACTGCATAGACGCAAAGGAAAAATTTTTAAAACTGAGTCGATGAAGTCTTTTGTGAGGCAGTTAAATTTGTATGGATTTCATAAAGTGCAGTCTGAAAAAGACGAAGAATTCTTATCTTTGTTAAGATATATAGATAGAAATCAATGGCCTCAAGCCGTATTTAAACATCCATATTTTATAAAAGGACGGGATGACTTACTCGGTTAGTATGATTATTTTTTTCATAATATGATATAACCGCAAGTTCTTAAATCTTTTTAGATGATTTAACTTCTTTCCCCTTTTTTTGTGCTCATTAAAAAAATGAAAAGTTTGTAATAGATCAATGGTTCTTCATAATGTGTGGTAAAAGTAAATAATTCAAATAAACTTATGATGCATCAATGATATATTATATATACTAGATTTCTAACTTTAATCTAAAAAGTGAAGCCGTTTTTGCCCTAATTAAAAAGGACCTCCACAATATTAACTATATAATAGTTTGCTTTTTTTACAAATGGCGGATTAAATTTTTAAACAAAAAAAGCGTCTTAATGAGCTGTTCATTAATTACGTCAATAAATTTTTTCAATTGTATACCTCCCCCCTCCCCCTTGTCAACAATTTGTCAAATTTCCAGAGACCCCCCCTATAAAACTGCGTCAACTTTTGATTACCCCCTTCCCTATTCAAAGAAACTACGCTACAAACTCAACCTAATTTTCAGTTATTTAAACAATAAAACTCAAAAAAAAAAAACTTGTTGACGTCAACTTTAATTGACCTCCCCCCTCCCCTGTATCAACAATGTCAAAAAAGTTCAGACCCCTCCTCCCCCCATTTTGTTGACGTAATTATTGGACAACCCCATATATATATATATATATATATATATATATATATATATATATATATATATATATATATATATATATATATATATATACATATATATGTATATATATATATATATATATATATATATATATATATATATATATATATATATATATATATATATATATATATATATATATATATATATATATATATATATATATATATATATTACTTTGATATGTTACTAATAGTAACAAATCAAATCAAATATATTCTAGAGAGTTACTACATAAAAAGATATTTACAAACAGTATAAGTTACTAATATAACGTAAACACAAATCTAATTTAGTGATAATAAGTTTATCTTTTATAAGTTGTTTATTTTCACAGAGAATGTAAAAAGACGTTGCAATATTAAACGCAAAATAAAAAATGTTCTTCAAAATTCAGTTGCTTTTGACGATCAAAATATTAGTTTTCAATATCCAGTATACAGCAATCAAAACATGGCATTTATTACGTCAAACAACTATCCATTGAGCAACTCAGGTATATGAAAATATGTTTGTATAAAGTAGGGTTGTCAAATTCCGGTTATTTATGAAGGAAAGCGCGGTATAAATCTTAATTAAAAAATAAGTTTTGTGCTTCGCTTTTCTCCATTAATAACAAGAATAAGCAACTTTAATATTAAGTGCAGTAAAAATAGTATATAAAAAAAAAATCTTATATATTTTATTTAAAAGCAATATCGATTTTAAAATAAGTTTTCTTTAAATTTTAATTATTTAACTATATTAGTAAATATCATTAATTAATTTATTTAAATAGTCAAAATAAATATTTATATCTATTATACGCTACCCATTAAAGATCACTACAATGAAAAGCATAAGGGGTCGTCCATAAAGTAAGTACGCTTTTTTTTCGCCCCCCTTCCCCCCCCCCCTCCCGCAACTTGCTGTACGCTTTTTTGAGTACTCTCTACCTCCCTAAAAGTACCTACGCTTTTAACCTGCTAACCCAACATTTTTATGATATTTTTTTTAATTTAGTGTCTCGATACTTTTATAATTAACTTACTGACCCCTTATCTTAGTAACGCTATTTGCAGACCCCCTCTTCCTCTCCGAGCGTACGTACTTTATGGACGATCTCTAAATGAAAAAATATTTAGCTGTCATATAATTAAACCCCTTATTGTTTTTATATAAAATGAACCCTGCTATGTGTGTGTCTATATATATATTTTTCACTATATATAACACTATGTTTTATCAATAAAGAAAATTTAAGAAAAATTTTCATTTAACACTATGTTTCATCAATAAAGATTCATCAGAAAAAAAGATTTTCTGATGAATCTTTATTGATGAACATAGTGTTGAATGAAAAGTTTTTGTTAAGTGATTTTCTACCAATTTATTATTGCTCTGTTCTTTTAAGAACATTGAGCACTCTACTTTTTGTAGAACACATTATAAAATTGTTTATATATATATATATATATATATATATATATATATATATATATATATATATATATATATATATATATATATATATATATATATATATATATATATATATATATATATATATATATATATATATATATATATATATATATATATATATATATATATATATATATATATATATATATATATATATATATATATATATATATATATATATATATATATATATATATATATATATATATATATATATATATATGTATGTATATATATATATATATATATATATGTATGTATATATATATCGCAAGGTTAGAATTATTTTGTTTTATCTCCACATTTTTTTGTTTCGAGATAAAACGATTTAAGAAATAAAAACTTTAGGAGACGGCATATAAAAAGATTTTTATTACTTATGTTTTCTCCGAAACTTTTTTGATTTTAAGTTAGGTTTTAATATAGTAGAAAAACATTATTTTGAGGTACATTACACAATTAATAACTGATTTTTTTCAAAAAGTGGAGATATATGAGTTTGTGTGTGTGTGTGTGTGTGTGTGTGTGTGTGTGTGTGTGAAACTTATTTTTAAAAGATAAAATGTATACTTATGAAATTTTATAAGAAAGTGAAATTCAAACTCTAGCTGTTTATTAATCCCTAAAGGAATAAATTTCTAGAAGAAGCATTATTTTGGGTAGAGTCTCACGTAACAAGTGAGTACTATATAATAATACCAATTTATCATACCTATGAAATATTAATTTAAAAAAATCCGCAAAGCAAAGTTATTTATTTAAAAAAAATAAAAGTCATATTGGGCGGCATCACATCGTTATATGTGTGATTTAACCTTAAAAAAATGATGCTTCAACATGGTAAACTTTATCTTCAGTACTAAAAAATCTTTAATATATTATAATTATAACGAGAAACTAAAATACTATTTTAAAGGTAAAGAATCTACTAAACCTTTTTATCACTTCGAGTGGAGAGCTTTGCATCCATACGGCCCGGTACAGTATTTCATATACCCACAAGAATGTCTAGCTTATAACACCGTACTTTCTCCAATTAACCGATTAGAAACTGAAACCTTTGCTAGTCAAGATGCTATTCCACAAGAGTACAACTTCCAATCTTCAAGCGTTCACACTAATAATGAAAACGTTCCTCTTGACACCAATGAACTTATAAATCAGACATCCCTTGTATCTTATTACGATTCTTTTTGTAATTTGGCAAAGGATATTTAACTAAATATATTATATATTATAAACTTTCTCCTACGGAAGCAAAAGTTTAAAAGAACTAAAATAAATAAAAACAATATGTTTATAATAGAAAGTATTTCAAGTTCAAATAGATTGTTTGTATTTGTGTTTCTTTTGGTCGTATTATTAGCTACATCCTATTTGGAAAATCGATACTTTAATATATTTAAGAATTTAAATTTTTTCTGTTTGTAAATTTGTTATGAGCTATTTTATTGTTTTGTTTTTCTTAAATTTTTTAAACGTTTTTCCTTTAGACTTGTGACGTCCATAGGACGTCGTAAAGACGTTCCGCGGACATCTGTGCCAGCTAGGATGGATTTCAAGTTGAAATTTGATTCGATAATTAATAATACGTATAAATTCCATATGCATACAAATGCGTAATGCATATAAACATATATAACATATTTAATATAACAGTTTTATAGCCCTTCCCCGTCCGCTTAATATCTCGTTAACTAGTTAACGACTTAATATCTCGTTAACAACTAAAAAACGAAAAAAAAAACACAATCACAAAATAGATTAAGGATGTACTTTTTATAGTTCTTAAATATATTCGCATAATTTATTACATGCTTCAAATAATTTTCTTTTAAAATAATATTATTAAGTATTTTTTTTTTTTTTAATTTCTCGTAAAAATAAAATTTTAAGATAAATCGAATTTACTTGTTTTAGGTTTTTCAATTTTAACGAGTCAACATATGTTGGAAAGCTAATAGTATTTTAATGTAACCATGTTGTTATCTGTCATATATGTTTGAGACGTATTTTTTGCCAACATAAAATATGTCCCACATATTTTTTATCGTGGTATTTTGACATTTTATTTTTATGTCTGAGTTATTTTTAATTTATAGAGTATAATGAAAATAGTTTAACAAATTCGTTGCCTTTTTGCAATCTATTATTCTTCATTAAACTTTTATTTTAAACCCTATCAACAAACATCAGTTGTTTCATTAAGGTCTTTTTATACCCTTTTCAACGATATGTCATTTGATAGTATTGAAGCTCTTATAGCGGCCATTTCCCTTATTAGACTGTAAAAACAAGTCTCATAACTTAATTTTTAATACTGAAAGTTTTTATTTGTATGACTAAACTTAATATCATTTTTTTGATTAAATTAATGATTGAAAAAAAATATATATTTTTTTTTAATTATTGTTGATCCTCAAATATTTCGTAATAAAAAATGGAATCTCAAAAGATTCTATGGCAAATTAAAAGACCTTGTAGAAAACAATTGTTTGGCTAAAAAAAAAAGCAAATTGCCGAGTTTTTCAAATAAATTTTATTTTTTCTTCTAGTAAGCAAGAATATTGAATTCAACGTGTAATGTCACTCGCGCCTCATTAAGAGACCATTTTAAAATTAGCTGATAAATATCTTATCTGAATATGCATTAACATACCTTGTCTTGGTCCTCCTCCAGTATATTCAATAGAACAGCTTCAACATCTTCTGAGTTCATCAGATTTATCACTTCAGAAGTATTTAATGAATATGACCCATCTAATGTATGGATTCTTCTGTTGATGTAAATTTTGACTGCTCTTGTCGAGTGCAAAGGTTTTGATAGTTTTCGATCAACTGTGTGATTCCTCTATTCAACATTTCTTTATCATTTCCTTATTAAAGAATTGATGACCCGATGTAAAGTATAATCTAGGATTCAGAACTAAAGCAACTAAAAATGCTTAACGTTAAAAAAAACAACACTTTCTTGTGCATTGATTCCGTTATTAAGTAACAATTTTATATCCAAATCACTTGTGGAACGTCCTCGATTTCTATTTTCATTTTAATCTATCAAACGTAGAATTCACTCATTGGTAGTTTTTTTTTTGGTAATTAAAAATTTAACCTGGCCGAATGTATTGAGTTCTATGATGTATCATTTAGCTTTAATTTGTCGTTTCTTTGCCATTAATATGCTTCTGCGTTGGTATGAAAATCTTTTATCATCAAAAAAATTTATATAGAAAAAAATTTATATAGAAAAAATTCCTCTTGAACTTCCAAAACTTATTATTGGAGATTACATCGTAAAAAGAGAATGTTCGATGAAATTTTTAGGTGTAATTCTAGATGAAAACATAAATTGGAAAGACCACATAAACATGATTGAAAATAAAATTTCTAAAAATATTGGATTACTCTATAAAGCAAAACCATTCTTAGATCAATCCTGCTTGAAATACATATATTACTCATTTATACATTCTTATCTTAATTATGCAAACATTGCTTGGTGTAGCACCAATAAAACAAAGATAAAAAAGCTATTTAGCAAACAAAAACATGCAATTAGATTATTATCAAATGCACACCGCCTCTCACATTCAAGACCATTGTTTAACAATCTAAAAATACTAAATGTGTACCAAATAAATATATATCATCTTCTGATTTTTATGTATAAAATTAATAACAATTCAATAACAAATATTTTCAAACCATTATATAATAAAATTCAACACAAATACGTAACTAAATATTCTAACAACAACTTTGTTCAACCCAAAACTATATACGACTCCACCAAGTTTTCAATAACTGTTAGAGGACCTAATGCATGGAATAAGATAATCAGTAATGATATTAAAACACTTAAAACTCTTGATCAGTTTAAACAAAAACTAAAACTATTACTTTTAAATAATGAACAAACAGATAATTATTTTTAAATCTATCTATAAAAATATTATATTTTAAAACTATCTACTAATGCATACTTTATTTGTCTGGAAGGTCTAAATTCTTTAATTTTATATAGGTATTACAGTCTGTTATACTATAAAAAAAGTACTTATAAAGATTTTTAGCATTTTTAGATTTCATTAGTTTAAATAAATTTATTAGTTTTCTTAAATAAGAGAGAGAGAGGAAAAATAAAAAAAGTAATCTTTTTTGAGTTTTAATTTTTTATATTAATATTTTGTAATTTGTTTTTGAGGAATTAATATATTACACTTTATAAGAACAGATTGTAAATTAAATTTTACGTTTACTTTTTTCATGTTTTTTAGTTTTTTGATATTTTTGTTTTTCTGAATGAACTTTTAAAATTTTCTTTCAAAAAATAAAATCGAAAAAATATCTTTCAAAACTTTGAACTATTAAACTATTTTGCATTTTATATAAACTTCTTTGTAATATTTTGCTTTTTTCTTAATTTTTTAATTTTCATTTTAGTTACCATGTATTTATATAAATGTCTAGACAAACAAGGGACTTGGTGATAAGACAACCCCGTCTTCTTCTCGTCCTTG